AAGATGCTATCCTATCAATATGGGCCAACATTTCTAAAGAATGCTTTCAGCACCTTGTTGAATCAATGCCACGTAAAATTAAGGCAGTTCTGAAGGCGAAAGGGGGTCAAACACCGTATTAGTATGGTGTTCCTAATAATCCCTTAGGTGAGTGTATATATATATATATATATAGTATGTCTGTGTATTAGTGTTCTAATTATTAAGCGTTGAAACCGTTTAACGTTTTACTGCAGACTGCATGTTTCCATTACTGCTGGCAGTGCGCTGTAAATAAACGGGGACTTCTTTTATTATTTATTTATTTATCCTTTATTTTACCAGGAAGATTCCATTGAGATACAATATCTCTTCTTCCAGGAAGTCCTGGCCAAAATGGCAGTAAATAAGAAAAAAAGTTTCATATACATATACATACACAGATGATTAATATGAACACAGACTAAAACACACACAAATACTCAAACTATATATAGAATAAAATTAATTTATACGAAACAATGACACATGTTCCTTAAGTTCAGAGTTTAAGAGATTTTTAAAGACATTCAGGGAATGCAAGGAGTTTAAATTCAAAATATTTTGTAATGTGTTCCACTCATGTGGTGCATAACAACAAAAGGCGGATTTCCTCAGTTCTGTGCGTGTGGTGGGAAGCTGAAGAAGATGTTTAACTGCAAACTACATATGTACTGAGGTAATTTGCCCATTAAAGCCTTTGCAATAAAAACCAGGCAATCCATTTTCCTTCTAAGATGTAATAATGTTCTGTTCCTTTTTATAAAATTCCGCCTCTTTGTTATTATTAAATCATACTCCACTGCACTGATTCCCCTACAATATCAAAGAATTATTCATGCAACTAATTTACTCATAGAACATTTTTGGCAATTTTAATGGAAACATAGATTTCATTCCTCCTCAGTCACGCTACGGAAGCTTACCGGAAGCCGAACGCTGTCGTATCATTGGTTGGCTGGGGCGCATGCGCAGGCCGGTGCTGTCCCCGAAGAGCCAATCGGAATCCCATTGAAACACAACAAACAGGCACATCAGCTGATTACTGGCGCCGAAACAAGCTGTGATGATTTACTGTAGTGTAACAAAGTAGCCGTGAAAAAACTTAACAATGACAGCTTTACCGACCGGCTAGTAAATGTTAGATACTCGCACTGCAGGAGGGGGTTTCTTTGGTGTGAGTGGCGGTTGTATCAAGTTTTGACAGCACGAACATATGGAAGCTAAAGGAGAAGCGTAAGCGGGGTAGTAACGTGTAGTATGTACTCATAAACATTACGGTACATACTGCCTGTTGTAGAAAGCTGGAACCTCAAGGAAACAGCTTAAACTAATAGAAGACGATATTAAGCCACTACAGAAGCCACTGTACACTAAGCCACATACAGAATGGACTCTATGCTCGAGTCAAGACCACTGCTGGGACCACAGGAAAGCGGTCCGATCGAAGGGAAGTCGGAGCAAGACAGTTATTTAGAGTGAGTTACTTATGTACTGTTTAACAGACGCTTCTGTCCTAAACACACTTAACCCTTTAATCTATTTCAGTGCTGAGGATTTTTAAAAACAACAGCGTTCCACTCCAGGTTCTTCCTGGTGCAACAATTTATGAACAATAATCAGTGACAGTAACAGTAAACTTTCTTCTCTGTTTCCATTTTATGTTTTTTTTTCCTGTGTGATCAGATCATGCTCAGTTAAATATTAGAAGGATATCTGATTTCTGCAGGTCTTTTGCAGCATGCGGGCTTTATGAGGTTTGAATTGGCTTACACGTTCATTGCTGCATTTTCTAGGTAGTTTGTTAATTGAACAAGTAACAGATGCATAAAATGTGATTTGCGAATATTTAGTATTAGCTCAGTAATACACGTTTTACTTTTTATTGTCAATTGAAATGTGTATTCAGCTTAAATATAAAGAATCTTTTTCTTGATTGGTCATGGTAGCATATGACTTGCTGGAAAGCAGCCAGCTGTAGTTGTGACCTAGCAATGGGGTTTTGTCATTATATACACTGCATGAGGACACTGTACGCAGTATATCTCTTAGAAAGTCTTAGAAAGCTTTAAGCATGTTCAAGTGATTTTAAGGAAGTGGTCATTTATAAATATCATCAGCTTCCTCATACTAGCCGTTTCAGCAGCCAAGCATGCATGTAAATATCCAGTATAGCAAATGTCACACACAAGGTATTTTTTTGATTGTGTGTTTCAAGTCTTAATATTCACTGCTCCCTCTGCGTCCCTTATGCCGTCAGTAAGGTGAAGAACAGGAAACTGTACTTGGCTACATTTGCAGCAGTCCTGGGCCCCCTGAGCTTTGGATTTGTCCTGGGATACAGTTCTCCAGCCATTCCGGAGCTACGCAGGATCAGCAACCCGCGACTGCAGCTGGACGCCGAGGAGGCCTCTTGGTTTGGTGTACGTGTTCGCTGCAGTCCAGCACAGGCTAATGTCGGGGCCTAACCCTAACCCCGGGTTGTTTTTCTCTCACAGTCTGTGGTGACGGTGGGTGCCGCGTTCGGAGGGGTGCTAGGCGGCTGGGTAGTGGACAAGATCGGCCGAAAGCTCAGCCTTATGTTCTGCTCCCTGCCCTTCATCTTTGGCTTCACCATCATCATCGCTGCCCAGAATGTCTGGATGCTGTACCTTGGACGCGTTCTCACTGGACTGGCCAGCGGCATGACCTCTCTTGCAGCACCTGTATGTACCCTCTGTGTACGCTGTATGTACCCTCTGTGTACGCTGTATGTACCCTCTGTGTACGCTGTATGTACCCTCTGTGTACGCTGTCTTATGCTGCATTCCATTTACCTCGGAGGTCGGAACTCGAAATGGGAATGATGTCACACATGAGTTAACAGCGTTCCAGTACAGCAAGTCGGAAAGCCATGTAGCAGAACCTGGGACCTGTATCAAAAAGCATGACGTCTTGCTTAGCCAGACGACTTGTTGGATTTAAGCAGAGGCGGACATTTCAGGTCCAGATAGGAAAAATACAGACCAAGATTTTGTTTCAACCAACCAGTTGAGTACTCTGTGACTGACTCTTTATGCTCAACTGGTTGGTTGAAACAACATCCTGGTTTGGATTTTTACTTTCTGGACTTGAAATGTCCACCTCTGGATTTAAGGTACCCCAGTTTAAATGAGTTTTATCTTCGTTCACTTACATTTAGCCCAGACTACCTTAAATCCAACAAATAATCAGAGTACGCAAGAAATCCAGTTCTAGACCGGTTAATTGTTAGCCATTGTTAGCAATATCAGTTGATAACAACACATTACGTGGTGTTTTGCACATAAAACTCCGTAGCAACACATCCACAGAAAGCAGTTTTACATTATTGTGTGTACGACTGATTTAACGAACCACAAATAAAATATAAGTGCTAATAAATGGTATAAAAGTCTAACTTTAACTTCTATTGATAAAGCGTGCCGCCATTTTGGATTCTGAGCTCGGGGTTGTGTGGATTCCTCTGACTCGAGGAGGCACTCCAGTTGAAATTTCCGACTATGCAACTCAGAATTTGTGAGTTACGAGTTCAAATGGAATGCAGCAATCCTGCTGCCTGTTTAAATGAGGGTCTGATGTTGGGTAACTTCAGTCAGAGTTTCCTGTATCTTCCTGAATTCTTTGAATTGCTGATATCCAAGATTTGATTGTCAGTAAAGACAACACAAGGTACCTGTTTATGTCGGGAGCTGGGCTGTTTAAACAATATACTATCCATATTTTTTCCGTCATTCTTTGTGCCTCTCTAGACCAGTCTTTCTCAAACCAGTCTTTCTCAAACCAGTCTTTCTCAAACCAGTCTTTCTCAAACCAGTCTTTCTCAAACCAGTCTTTCTCAAACCAG